TATCAACTACTTGTTCATACAGTTTCAAAATGTGGTACAACAATAATTGATTTTCTTGTTTATTTTCGCAAATCATTAAAATGCCGGAAATGAAGGTTTCTATTTGAGGGCAAATGTCTGATTTGATCAGCACTGGAGATCAAATTCTTTGAACTGTATTTCTTGCAACCTGCATTGGGCAGTCACCCTGTATTAAGCAGTCACTTAGCCATTCCCTTTGAGGGTGACCGCTTAATATATCTTCGACTGTATAATCAAAAGAAAAGGTTACCAGAATTGGTAAAAAGATCACTTAAGGGAAAACGCATTGATCCTTTGATGAATTCTCTCAACTAACTCTTTAAACAAATGTATGGAGATCTGTCTGGGGAATTTGAATGTGGATACTGGGGCTTAAAGGAATAAATACTGTACACAATAATAAGAAGTTACATGTATACTTCCAGCTGGGAGCGAGATTGGAATTGACTGATGCATTTTGTATAATCATGGTAAATACCCCAAAGTATTAAAACCTGCCTGTCAAGATCAGGAGAGGAAGATTTCTATCAGCAAACCATTATTGGGCTATTGTATTTAATATCCCTAGCCCCCGGTTGAGGACTTACCTTTTCTTCTTACCTCTGAAGATTGGCTAAAATTGCATTCACCCCTGAAGACTTCCATAAAATAATTATGGGTCATACCCCTGAAGAATTGGGTCATACTCCTGAAGAATTTCGTTAAAATTAAGGTTTCACCCCCAAAGAATTGCACATTTTTTTACTCTACCCCTAAAGAAATCCTCAATTTCTTACCCGTGGAGAATTCCATGGTTCCTCAACCGGGGGGTGCGGATATTAAATGCAATAGTCCATTATATAAATTTTCATCACCATTTTCATTTTGTCTCTTAAATGGTTAACTTCCCATATTCTCACCTGGATCTCCGCACCGTCTTGCCTTTGTTCGATCTCGTAAACTTTCATCTCCTCAACTCCTGCCTCACTTAAAATCCTCTTGGCTAGAACTGAAAACGGGCATGTTGTTTTGGAGAACACGACGACATTATGTTTTTTAATGGCTGACTCTATTAATGAAAGAGCTGCTCGTGAGGCGGACATCTCTATAGTGGTAAACAGAAAAACAAAGATAGCCTCCAAACTGTTCGTGGAAAGAGCTATCGTAGCATGTCCAGCCTGATAAGCTTGGTTCTACGGGTGAATCATCGCCATGTTGTCCGCCATTGAACCTACCCATAAAGTATAGCGAGCACCTATCGTTCCCAGGCCCCAGGGTTTGAAACCTCTCACAGACCTGCCAACCTTGAAAAGGCAAAAAAATGTGAGATTTTGAACCTAGAGCTAGCAAAAGTAGTGAGAAATGGGTAAAAAGTCGTGAGATGTTTTATATTTACTAGTGGAAGTTGAAAAAGAGAAACAATAGGGCCATTTATACGAGGAAAAATAAGACGCGTCTTACATAAGACGCGTCTTAAATAAGACGCGAACTGTACCACTTATACGAGCAAGTCTTATCTAATAAGACGCGTCTTAGCTAAGCCGCGTCTTATTTTAGACGAAATGTGCGTTTATACGGAAAGTTCGCGTTTTATTTAAGACGCGTCTTATTTTTCCTCGTATAAATGGCCCTATTAAGCCGCTGCACAATTTGTGGGAGCAGCAAGTCGCGACCGCGAAGCGTTTTCTTTGGATCGGTGGAGCTGGCTATCTATTGATATCTAAGGGGGTAATTACATGAGACCGGGACGAGCTCGGACCGGTATGAGTTCGTATCGCTCTCCACACATTTCTTTTCATGCGTTTACATGGGACCGGCCTAAAAACGAACTCAGAGCTTTCTGACTTGGTGTCGGTCGCTGACCCGACACGAGTTATTTTCGTACCGGTCTGAGACTGTATCATCTCATTTAAAACGTAAACGAATCTCAGACCGGGTCCATAAACAGCATGTTTCGATTAATTCTTCGTATGGCTCCATCATTTTTACTTTTTCTTAGCAAAATAAGAACACTACTATGAATTATAACTGTAAATAAGACTTGGAAGTCGCTTCAATTGAATAAATGCTTCGGTTAATGTGAGGGATTGCACCATTTTGACAGTGCTGTGCATTTAACATGCCACCAGATGAGCGTTACTGATTACAATTTTCTGGGAGCAGTAAACTCTACGGTTCTCTACGCACTGTCTTAATTGGCGTAAATTGTACCAGTTAGGACAGTTAGTGAATAATATGTTAAATAATCGACTTAAGAAAGTTATATAGCTACAAGAATCCCCTGTTTTTGAGTTTGTACCGGTCCCATGTAATCAACGAAGCGTTTCGCCCCGGTCTCATGTAAACGACTGCAAAAATTACAAATTCGTACCTGCCTGAGTTCGTCCCGGTCTCATGTAATTACCCCTAACTTGGAAAGGAACCCTACAACTCCAAGCTTGACTATTCGAGAAAGCGTGGGAAATCAGTTGCGAACTCGTGAGAGCATCAGATAGGTCGTGAAATCGCGAGACTCACGAAAAAGTCGTGAGACTCGGCAAGTCTGAGTGATTTATCCGGAGGATAGCTTTATCCAGCTTTTATTAAAACAACTTGGACCATGCATCCGTTTCTCGAAACGCCCCGTAACATTTCGGGTCCGAAGCCAAATCTTGGAATCAAAACTTGTTGAATAGTATCACAGTTCCTGGCTCACAAACCGGTCAATTTCGCTTCCTTATCTGGCAGTTTCAATGTATCATTTTCAAAATTATTGAAACTTTCTTCTTGAATCAGGTGCAAACGCGGCAAACATTAAACAGCTTTCCGGACCCGAAAAGTTTCCGCCACTAGAAACGGGCCCTAGATCACTAAACGTTACAGGCCTCTGGTTATATTTGAATTGACCCGTTTCACTTCTCACTTTCCCTCACATCTCAGGTGCTTTGTTAGAAGATAAGCCTCTGATAACAGATTTAACGTTGTTCTCTGTTAAATTCTTAAAACAGGACTCTAGTTCACCAACCCCAGCAGTCTGAGGTTCAGTCTCATTAAGATCTGCAGAGTCTGTGATCAAACTAAAGCCCTTAATCAGACTTTAGCTTGCCTTCTTAATTACAGTTAAGTTTACTATAGACTTAAAGTACTTAATATTAAATTCGTTGACCAAAGCCTTGGGCTCTCCTTGCGTCTTTTATAGGTTGTTTGACATATTTTAAACAGCAGTTAAGGACTTTGCATACAGTGTTTGTTTCCTTGACTACTGAAAATCTCGCTTTTCACATGAATTTTTGCCGCAGGTTTCAGTTGTCTTTTCGCCTGCTGCCTGAAAAACCGATCGGCATTCATTCCACCATTATTTGTCCTGAGTTCTAATAGACCACTTCCGAGTTCCAAAAACCCTCACTTTCAAAATGAGGCTAAGTGCACAATCTTCCTTGTGAAAATGAGTTTTATTTGCATGAGAATGAAAAATCACTTTTACATCAAAGGCTGAGCACTTAACCTCGTTTTGATACAGAGGCCCAGGGGAACTCGGAAATGACCTATTGTTTATGCCAGTCGTCTCTTGTTCTCATGAGTTGTGTTGTGTTAATGTGACCGTGCCGGCGCTTTTCTGAGCTTAGAGATATGGGCACCAACAAGATGAAAGTAAATGAATTAAAATTAGCTTTTCAATAATTCGTATAAATAAATAAGCAAATAACTAATTTACAGAGGAAAAATGTATAATGTATGTAAAACTAAGTAAGACCAATTGCTGTGCAAGGCCAATTTGAAAGAGACCCTTATTCCCCCCCTTTTTTCAACTTTTGACGTGGATCACTTAGAGAAAATCCGTCCACACCATTAGAAAGAGCGTCTCTTAAAATAAGTAGAATTGCCAACTTTGAAAGTGATACATCTTAAGCGAGCAAAGATATAGCTCCGCAGATTTGCGAAAATTTACAGTCGACGTTTGTATGGTGAGGAGCAAGTTGGTGACCCCCACAATACAAACGTCTGTAAAAGTTCGCGACTTTGAGGAGTTATATCCTTGTTACTTTTAAGCAATCCACCTTCAATCTTGGCTGACGTTCTAATTTAAAGGCACTCTTTTCAGCGGAGTCGATGAATCAGTTTCCCTAACATGGCATGATGTCAGAAGTTTAAAGTGGAAAACCGAGGAAAGGTCTATTGGAAACACACAAGAAATGCCAAGATAAAACAATAACAATTGAACACCTAAAAGTGTTCCTTAAGCAAAACATTTCCTACGAAGACAATAACGGGACCAAGAAGAGTCAACCAGACAGATTTTAGTTGTGTTATATGAATACCCGCAACTTTGAACCCAACGTTTCCATATCTCTGGTGTCTTTCTAACAGACCAGCAAACAGAGCTATTTTTTGTGCTGTATTTAACGCAAATCCCCTTCGGCGCTGATCCTCGCTGTCGAGAGTGGTTACCGTGAATATCAAACGGCTAAGCTGTGAGCTTATTTGACCTGATTTATACAACGGGAGGGAGAATAGAAACACAGTTTCAGAAAGAAAAACGACGAATGTCCCCAGACACTCTGAGAGGAAAACACCATAGAAGATGTTGTTTGTTGGTGGGATATGCTGGAACATTTCCACAGTGGAGTAAACACTTATTGTCCCCAAAAGCACCCGAGAGAGCAGGAACAAAAGCCCCATCAAATACGGCTGAAAAGCGCGCCAAGAATTTTGAATCATTGTGGTCATTGCATTGTACTTTCTGAGAAGTTCCGTTAGAGTTATGTCACTTTGCTGTATCTGTTCTTGGAAGTCCTTCAGTTCCAGGATGTAAATTTCAGGGGCACCCAACGGCAATTTTCGGGAAAATATCTGTTCGGAAGACGATTTGAGATCTAGAATTTTCGGAGCATTTGTTGTAAAATTTCTTGCTTGTCTGCCTCTCCTAGGATTTTCGAACATCTACAGAATGGTATAATTACCCATTTTTAACGGATTTTGACCCTCAAAAAGGCCACCTATAATTTTCGGGAGCCTTTTCCTGGCTGGAGTTTTAGAGAAGGTAAGTTTTTATCCCTATAATTTTCGGATCACTAGACTTTCAGCTAGGAAATCCGAACAGATGAAAAGTTTTTAGGGGATAAAAATATGCCTAAATCTACTGTTTGAATACTAAACTACGTTCAACAATGATATGTTAAGTGGTTTTGAACTATATCCTCGTTGGGTGCCCCTGAAATTTGAACAACGAGCATTAGAAAGAAAAATATCGGCATCGCCATAAAGCGACTGTAAACAAGAACAAAGAATTCCACCGTTTCCACGGTAACATCCCAATTTCTCGGAACCCTTTTGGCGTGTTCTATAAAGATTGGAATCAACTTCTGAAGCAATGGTAGGATAACGAGAAAAAACGCCGTAGCTGCCATGAGATCCCGAATGAGCCGGTGCGATTTCCTCCATTGATTGCGGGAAATACGGGCACTGTTATTTAAGACGTCATTTATATGTCCTCTATGAACTTGAAAAAAGTATACTCCCAGATGATGTAATATGACGTAACGTAAGGTCCATGGATCTTGTTTACTGTGGGTAATGTCGACCAAGATATCGGTCGATATAGCGGTCGATATAGCGGTCGACACTCGGTCGATAGTCGGTCGACACTCGGTCGATAGTCGGTCGACACTCGATCGACAGTCGGTCGATACTCGGTCGACACTCGGTCGATAGTCGGTCGACACTCGGTCGACAGTCGATCGATATAGCGGTCGATAGTCGGTCGATAGTGGGTCGACACTCGGTCGAGACACGGCCGATAGTCGTTGCAGATGTGTCTCGGCCGATATAGCTTTTCGTTCACCGACACTTCGCCGACTTTTCGCCGACATTTCGCCGACACTTCGCCGATACTTGGTCGATAGTTGGTCGATACTTGACCGATGTGTCGGTCAGTAATTGGTCGACACTCGGTCGATGGTCGGTCGACACTTAGCATTTCCTACATTTTCCTACATTTTTGTGGGACCACAGGAGCAGCAGATTCAACTTAGGCTGAGACAGGTTCTGTTTAACAGCTAAAACTCAGACGATCGGTGATGATACAAACTGGAAAAAAAAAGGGTTATCATGTCCTTAGTTCCCAGTGCTCTTCGGTTCTCTTCATAGCGTAATCGCGCCTTGCACTGGCACATGTTCCCCATCGCATGATAACAGTAATTAATGACGTCTTTGCTTAAAAAAAAAGCCGTAGGACTCACCTGATAAATTAACACACGACTAATATTCGAACGACAGTTGACCGATATACCACCGACAGTTGACCGATATACCACCGACAGTTCACCGATATACCACCGACAGTTGACTGATATACCACCGACAGTTGACCGATATATCACCGACAGTTGACCCATATATCACCGACATATGACCGATAGTAAGTCGAGATGCGTCGACGAAATATCGACCGATACTCGGCCGATAGTCTATCTCACTATCGACCGACTATCGACCGACCATCGACCGACCATCGACCGACTATCGACCGACTATCGACCGACTGTCGACCGACTATCGACCGACTATCGACCGACTGTCGACCGCTATATCGACCGACTGTCGACCGCTATATCGACCGCTATGTCGACCGATATCTCAGTCGACATTACCCACAGTAAACAAGATCCAAGTCCATAACAGGCGATGCGCAACCGCCACAGCCGCAGTAAATCTGCCTGCATTTGACAAAAGAGATGGAAAATCGTTAACTAGGGTGAATATCTGAAACGCCATTAGAGCCCATAAGCTTAAAGTGACGGCGACTCACCTTTTCGTGTCAGGAGCCGTGTAGAACACAAAGGGTAACCTACCAGTCAAAAAGAATAACTTCCGGTTTCTCTAGTCTCGTTCCATAGAAATGTAGACCACATGTAAGGATAGAGAACAAAATCTTTTAGGCTTAATCTTGGCACTACAAGTGGGTCATGATCACCTTCTTGAGGCTCATGATCAATCACCTGTGTACCAACGCATGTGGTTGTAAGGCCATTATCGTAACTCTGATAATAAACACATGTTTCGACGGACCGGTCTTGCTTCAATTGTTGTTCGGTAATCAATACTACGCAATAGCTTTGGCTGAAAAAAAAAATTCTTCCTACCTCTTCTACGTTCTTCTAGACAATCGTCGACGCAGTTTGCCTCGCTGAGTGCTCTGATCTGTTGAAGTCTTCCAGGCTGTTCTTTGATAAAGCTTAGGGAATTAGTCGTTTACCCACGCGTTGGTCTTTCGAAGAAGAATTTGCCATCTTTGCTGAAGTAGACTAAAACTGAACTTCAAATGCAATGTCATAAAATTACATAATAATACTTTTCCTTTTAGAAACATTAAGTTAGCCAAACTTATTATCGTACTATCACTAAATCTCTTGCTTCAGTTTCTTGGAAATTCTATTAGCTGGGATTGTCCTGTCACACGTATCCGTTTTAAGATATGCAAAATTAATATTCTCTGAAACCCACCGGCATGTGCATGTAGACCGCGAAATGTCAACCAATTTAAACCTAATATCATTAAAAAAAAACACACACACACACATAGCCCTGCTAAACCACACATATAAAAATGTTTATTATGGCAAAATTTAACGCATGTATTATGATTACTCACGGAACTATAGCCTTGATGTAAATCACTGAGCAGGAATCCCCCTCGCTTTACATCAGATAAGCATACATTATATATCAGACACACAGAGTAGCACACTGAGAGTTCATTTTTAGCTTTAAAGTTGTGGGAAGTACCGCAAATGAATTCCGGGAAATAGAGGGATAATTTGTGGTCCGAATCCCTGTTAAACGTACTCAGGTCGCACACGGATAAATAGATACATGTATACAATAGAGCAATAGTCAAACCGTCTTTAAGGGGTCGAACAATTGTCTATAGAAGGGGGGGATGGGTGATTTGGTTTGGGTAAAAATTTTTTCTCCAAACCTCTGGACCGAGAATGTTTTTCCCAGGATAATAGGCCACGAAAGATGTAAGATTTTTTGCCCAGGATTATAAGCCACGAAAGATGTTTTTTTTTTCAGTGTAAGATATTTAGCAGGATATATATTTATATATTTTTTGAAATCACCCAATATACACCACCTCAAAAGTCAAATGGTCGGTCTCTAATTAAAGATACGGGGCAGGAGCGCGAGAGAAGACCAATTGAAACTGATGTAGTTCCTTGTGACGTATACACACATCAGTTGCGATTGCTCAATACAGATATTTTGCTATGTATGGTTTATGCTATGTAACAAAACCCAGTAACAACAAATTGTAAGTTGGCAGTTGTCTTGATTCTAACATGATTTCCATGTTTTGCCATTAATACCCACCCCAGTTCCAAGGACCAAACAGTCCTTACAAATTGCTGACAAATCAATGGGTTTATCGACCAGTACCGAAATTGTGTAAATTATTTTTTTCTTATAGTCAAACAATGATCCGCATCGATCGATTTATTAATCAATGAGCAAGTCATTTTCGCCTGTTAGTGAGATAACCAACTAGTACGACTAGCATTTCTTTAAAGTACACACCCTGGCAGCACGGCATACAGAAAGCGAGTCAATAGATGCACAAACAACCAATCAATGGTACCGATAAACCTTTACTTGGTCTGTGGATTAAACTGAATGCTTAGAAAACTCTTGTAGAAAAACGAAAAAGTACAAGGAATTTCTCGAGACACTGTAATAATGATTAATTAGAGAATCTAAGTCTGCATACAATTACTTTGAGTTCAAAGTCAGTTATAACATTCTGTTCAATTTTCTTGTCTTGTCAATTTTCTTTCAAAGAACATTTCCCTCAAGGGTGAAAACCACTTATTATACTGGTCTAGATCGTTTTGTCTAGGCTACTTTGAGTAAGTATATTAATCTAAGGGCTTGTTTACACTATAAATTATCTTAAGGTATTAATAAAAATCATCACTGACAAACTACTTACATCGGTCCATTGCTAGAATTACAGATCAGCGTTATCCAAAGTTCAGAAGTCCATTGCCGATCGGTTGACGTCCGAATACTTTACCAAAGAGTTTTATTTTTCAAAATAAACGTTTACAATAAAAATGAACAAGGCAAAGCGATGGAAGAGACGAAAATTCCGTTGACATACGTTTTTCAAGGCGTCTGTTCGAAATTGTGGGCAACGCCGCAGGCGCTCTCTTGTCACGTCCTTTATCGTTAAACTTCACGATGACAAAAAAAAGACATTCTAAAAGCAACAAACCAGGAACCAAAAAAAACCTTTTACATGAACACTGAAAGAAAATTCTTATTTAATACAAAATCTATCTTAAGTTTGTTTAATCAGAATACGAATTCAGGGAAAATGATACCTTAATTTGTATGTTATTAGAAGGGGCCTTCTAGCTAAGAACAAGCAAAACAAAAAAAACACCCTGAAAATACTTATCAAATAATATTGATTAGCCTGTCTAGACAAACGCTTTATAGATCAGAATTGCTTTAGCATTGTCTAAGCGTCTTTTTGTACCTAGATTGTATTGTTTAGCCTACTTTGACTGAGAGTGTTCGGACAATCAGTAAGCGTAATCGTCTATGGTTAGCATCCGCGAAGTCGTTTTATTCACCAGCTCGCAAGGGTTTCTCGCAAATGGTAATCGCCTTGAATCCCGTGGTGTCGCACCTTATATCATTCCACTTATGAGTCCCATACATTCCTGATATCAGCATCTCAGTACACCTTTCGCGGCCATAAGAGTTGTTTGGTTCCCCTGGCGACCAGTTGGTGTAGCTTCCATATAAGGTTCGTCCATCCACCCACTGAAAAGGACTTTGGGCGTTTTCTTTTGTTAGACCAAGCCACAGTTGTACCTGGGTCATCTTTTTCTCTTTGACATGAGCCTAAAATTTAATTAATTACTTTATTTGATTAAGTCTGACACATCGCTTTAAATAGGTTCCTCGAGCAGTTCATTGGACTAACTTTTAAGTCATACCATTATATTTGCCTTACATTGTTTCGCAAGATTACATTACTCGATTTATTTCCGCTACAGCCCAACGGATGTGGCAAGTCAAGTGCAGCTAAAACTTCAAAAATTATATCTTTTATAAATCTATATAACTTTCCGAATATTTATGATCATTTTTTTAACGGAAATTTATCCTCGCTCTCTCTTGATCTAAACTTACTTGAAGGGCAAAATTCTCACTCTCAAAATCGAAAAAGGACACGGTTTGACTTTGATTTATTTTTCGCGATGTCACGAAAGCAAGCTCTTGAAAAATAGTGATAATAGATTTTCCTCACACTGATTTATTTTTTTCTTTTTGTAGATAGACCGACTTTGTTTGCAGCAAATTGAATTAATAAAAAAGTAAATACCTTAGCAAGGTTAGCGGCGAAATCGTTTTCTTCTTCCGAGAATATCGTTATCATTTGCGAACCGTTGAGGGACCGGCACGCAGCATAAGCGTCCTTCCACCGGTACGACAGCACATCTTTCACCAAGTAACAACGTTTCTTGAATTCAGTCCAGGGTGGAAAACACGTTTCTGAATTGAGAGAAAGAGAGAGAATAAGGTTACCTCCAAAAATGCGACGGTTCGCTGCAAAGGAGAGAATATTACTTTTACTTTGTATACTTTAGTGAGGGACGGAAGACTGAAGAATTTACTGTAAACCTCCCCTTATAAGCTCCTCCCCTCCCTCCTCCGCTTATAACAATGTAAATGTATACGCCCTCCCAGTTATAGGCCCGACTACTGTCAAACCAATTAAGCCCAGGGCTAAAATTAGCAGCAATTTACGGTATGTGTATATCACTCACAAAAAGAGAAAACAAAAACAAGCGAGTGTACATGTCCTCCTAACTTTTAGCCTTCTAGATCGCGAAATGTCCACGAAAACGGACGCTTTTCTGTGATCTTCATAAAAGTGAAAAGTCACCTCTGTCAACGTTTTTATACAACAAAACAATGACGACAAATAGGGATATAAACTATAAACCAATTCAGTGTAGCTGTAACACTGAAAAGGTGTTTTTAAACGCATTCAGGATCTTATTTAAGTCATATGAATAGAATACTGCATGAGATGATCACGTGATCAACTTTCGGTAAACACGAAAACAGTTCATTTTTGAAGAAAGAGCATATGAAAATTACGTAACCCGAGAATTTTCAGCCGTAGATCTCAAAAGCAGCGATTGCAACGGCTGCCCAAAGTTTGAAACTTTGTTTTCTTCGTGAAAACCGAGAATTGTATTAAGACTTAAATATTTTCTCAATTTAGTGTATATACCATGGTTTATATCATTTTAGGATTTTATTTGTTTCTCGGAGATACTAGCCTATTTTTGGCTCCTTGTAATTCGAGATAAAATAAAGTTTTATGTATGTATGTATGTATGTATGTATGTATGTATGTATGTGTGTATGTATGTATGTATGTATGAAGCATTTGTATGAGAGAAACAACTTTCGCGATCCAGTCACGCTTGCATGGTTTTCCATACAAATCCTTGTAAATTCTAAAATTTTTAATCCGTATTTAAATCTTTCGCTTACGCATTTAAGGGCTCAAATTGCCTGTTACGAATTAAAAGGAGATATGAGCCCGTAATGCTTAAGGAAATATTTCATGACAGTTTTGAAAATTTCGAAATTTTCATGGATTTGCATGGAAAACCATGCAAGCGTAAAAGTTGTTTTTTTCATACAAATGCTTTCGGCGGCCGTCGCAATCGCTACTTTTGAGATATACGGCTGAAAATTCTCAGGTTACTAAATTTTAAAACGCTTTTTCAGCTTGTGCTAACAAGATTGAACTGTTTTTGTCTTTACCAAAAGTTGATCACGTGATCAAGTCATGCAAAGGGCCTATTACTTTTCCGAAAAAGATTGAACACTTATTCGGTGTTCAAGCAGCTGCAAAAGTTTACACAATTTTTTTGGTCTTACCATGACCCATCGATTTTGCTGTGATATAACCAGAAATAAGGGGGATAGGGTCTATTGCAAAATGCAAGTCACACTTCAAAAGAATGCCTGAAATAGAAAGATACAACTGTACTTACTTTCACAATAAAATTCTTGTGTCGTCCAGTTCCCTTCATTACATTCTCGTGAACCGTTTCCTACCGACTTATAACCAATTTGACAACCCAGCACAAACTTTTCACCAGTGCGATAGCGCGTCTTTCCATTCTCTGGCACTTGGGCGTGTTTAATAGTGACATTTGAAATATTGCAGGGAATAGCTACAAAATAAGGAAAACAGGAAATGGCTCTCATTTTCCTCAATTTCAGTAAAGCCTTTTATTAAGTCTTTACTAACCACCAAGTGACTGAAGTTATAACCAGAAAAATGCACTTCTCTTGTGTAAAATAATTAAATCAAACACTTCAGATTCTTAAATACCCTGCGAACGGTGTTGAGGCCTCAAATGTAATAAATGACCCTAAATGTAATAAAGGTCCTAAGTGTAACAACTTTTGACCCTAAATGTAATAAAGGTCCTAAGTGTAATTCTTTCAGCTTTTTATATGCTTAGGGTCATAAGACGATTTCACAACGTTTGCTTTTAGCCTTATTACGGGTCAACTGAGCGCCAGAATGTGTCTAGGGAATATCAAACACTAAATACCCCAGGCAGATCCCCTCTATAGCCATTTGAGAAACAACTTGTTATTCAGTTATTGATATCATTATCACTGTTATTTTTATTGTCATTATTAACTGAAAAGAATATTTAATCGAAGTGAAATGTAAATAGTCCTTTGACCGAATAGTGATTAATTGTAAATAGGTTTAATAGTTAGCATTGTTATCAATAATACTTGAAACGACTTGAAAACAGAGGACCATGATATGAAGCAAATTTTTTAAAGAACTCTTTATTGTCAAAAAAGGACTGACGTATCTTAAAACTTATGTAACAAAACAAAAGAGCCTCGCTTATTATAGAAAATTTTCTTAAGAAACTGTAACTTCATTCATTGGATTGAACTAAAAAAATCTGTTCATAGGCAAAGGCCAAAAATGTCAAAATGGCAGCCTGTAGTGCCACCATGATTTCTAATCTGAGTCAATAACACAACATCAGCTTAACTGTTTTTACCTCTTCTGTTAACAAATAGGTGCAAGTAAGTGTACTTTAATTGATCTCTCGTCCTTTCCACCATACATTGGTAACATAAAACCAAGTTCCAACCCCAGCAAACAACAGCTCAACCCACGCCTTTATCCATCTGGGGCTGGCTATTATCTCTCTGTATTATCTCTGTATGGGCCAAATTCTTTGCACAACTTGCGCAAGCTGAAACAGCCACTTCGCACAGTGTCGCCATTGTTGTAGCTTATTCGTGGTAACCGACAAATATAACGCATTGTGAGTTCTTTAAAGGGTTCACGATGCTGGCAAAGGGAATTATAGGTGATAATAATACTTATGTCAGTTCCAGTTAACGCGAAGTCTATTATTTTGTCGAGTATTTCATTTGGAAGTTGACTGGTTGGACCACCATTATCATCGCAATCACAATCATCATTTTATTCTTCTTCCTCTTCTTCTTCTTCTTCTTAGCTCTAAAAAAAAGATTTTGGGTCTTCAAAGTAGAGTTCCTTATGTACTCGCTAGAAAAACAGGAAAGCCAGCTGTTATTTGAAAATGTAATTTCATTCATATGGGGAAATCCGGGAAAAAAAAGTTAGCATAAAAATTCACTTCAAGAAGTACTCCTGGTAGAAATTAAAATCAAAGTCGGGAAGTCAGAAAAACTATAAAGATATACTGCTCTTAATATCTTACTGTTTATATATAACTTCGTGTTCACAGCTTTCTGTATGGACCGACCGACATACTCTTTTGGAAAATGGTAAAAAAAAAACATTTCTTTTTTTGGCGCAACATTAAAAAACCCCATAGGCAAAAGTAGTCAATTTACCACGATTGTTTCTAATGAACATTAATACTTCTTTCAATTACTAAATTACAACTGTATTTTGAAAACTTTTGTGTAGATTCCATTTGTTTATAATTCGCGTTTCACGATGTAGGGATGTAGTAGGAGACACGATCGAGACGTAGTTAAGTGTTTCTCCTACTTCTTGAGCGCTCCAGCCGTTTTCTAAGTTAATGAATATCTATGAAGACTACAATAGGGCGAAGAAAGTGAATCGCCAGCTGGCTATAAGATTAATATCGTCGTATGTTTCAGTCAGGGACTTTATCAAGCTTGGGGCTGTTATACTACATACATGTATACTGTTAAGACTTCCATTATATTTAAGGCTAAAACCTATTACATATATAATTAGACCCTTTATTACATTTTAGGGCCAAAAGTTATTACACTTAGGACCTTTATTACATTTAGGACCAAAAGTTATTACACTTAGGACCTTTATTGCATTTAGGGTCATTTATTACATTTGAGGCCTCAACAACGGCAGACGTTTCTCCTCGCTCATCGCCACTGAGGGACTTTTCGCGGGGAGGAATGTCTGCGACTCAGCGACAGAAATTCCACACTGATGGAGCAAAATCTGTCCGAAATCCGGTCAGAAGCGCTAATTGGTCGAGTAGTTTCAATGTTCTAGCTATTGTTTACGAATGACAGACAAAAGACAAAAGGCGGCAAAGGTCAAATGTAAACGCCATGAATCTCTAACAAAATATTAAATTTTTTTTAGGAATATAGTCTTCTCTAGAGGAAGCATTTGAGTTTTGCTGGAGCTCATTCGAAGATGAACACAACACTTTCCAAATCGACCAGGAGAAACGTAAAATTGAACAAATTTGTATTTGGAACCCCATGACTACCGGATTTATTAAGTGAACATTGATTTACGTCATCAGTATGGAATTTCTGTCGCTGTGCATGAGTCGCAGACGTTCCCCCTCGCGAAACGTCCCTCAGCGGCGATGAGCGAGGAGAAACATCTGCCTTTCGCAGGCTAGTTCTTAAAATGTGAGAAGAAGAGTAGACCGTTTAAGTGCTTGCTAACCTAATCTTTTTTGATACATCAGAACGAGGAATACCTGCACACGAAACGTTTTGTAAATGTTACAAATTAAGATAAGCGACTACACCGCCCATTGTCTGCTTTTGTTCTCTCACCTATCTTTTCTAGCTAACCTAATGCTTACAATTTAAAAACTGGACTTCCACCCACAAAAAAGAAAAGAAAAAGTTAAATAGAAAATAAAACTTTCTAGAAGGATTTTACTTTATGATTTACAGCGCAGAAATAGCTACGTTTTTTAACTGTATTTTTTTAAAGGCATAGTAATTTTCACACTCACAAATATCGATACATTGCGATTCTAGAACGGCTCCAAGATCAGTTTGAGAACGTATATATGGGCATTTGATACACTCTGTATTTCCTTGGTTTGACTGGTATGTGCCGACAGGACAAGGGACACATGAACCATTTGACATGCCATAGTAGCCAAGTGCACAGTTAACTGCAAAATAGGAACATAACATTAAAATTTGAACACAGAAAATGACATTTATGAACTGAAGTTTGTTATTCCGTCTCGAGTTTACTCTTGCAAGCCAGATACATTCAAACAATTCGAGAAATTCTAACCTTTTTTATATACCTCATTGTCGAACTAATTTCCGAAAATTCTCAATTCGGTTTCAAGGCCCTAAGTTTTTAACTCGCTAAGGAATAAAATTCAAAGCAGAGAAAGTATCAGTTTGTTCGGCAAACGACTTCAAAAATTCCTTCTTTCCTTGTCAAATATACTCTTTGTTGAGCTAGATAACTTTTCTTTTTTTTTTTCTTTACTTTTAAAAATAATCTATTTATCATTCAGTATCCTTAACTCACATGTGCCCTATATACTGCCAGGAGGCCTTCCTAGTCAACACCATTTTAAACATTTGTAAATAATTTAGTTATAATCGTGTCAGTTGTCTTTAATATAATTATAACAAACTTCTTGTATATTATTGATTTATTTTTATGCGGTTAATGACAAAATAAAACAAATGAATGAATCAATTAAATGAGTTTGAGCAACGTCCATTATCTGACAATATCAAATTAAGTTTTCCGTTAACTAAGATAATACGTAAATAAATAACTTATTACATAGATGGTAAAAATCTTCATATGACATCGTTTTACTTCAAATTGTTCTTGGGTAGATCGTTTTATGATTCAACTTACAAAAATAGAATTTTAGAGGATGAACTAAGAGTACCCACCGCAAAGAAATCCATTTTCATCAGCCTCTTTTCCAGCGGGACACTTTTGAGTGACAAGCTCAGCAGCAAAACCTCCATTTTTGGAGACGATAAGCTCGTTTTTCCAAAGAAAGTGAAATTTCCTTTCTTCCAAAGCAGCGCGAAAAGACCGTAAATCGCTGGCAAGTTTGTAACGTGAAATGGAAAAACTGTTTAAGGCAGCGATTAAGTCTGAACTAATATATGACGACACGTTGCTTTCATTGGCTGTGATCACAAAGGACAACGAGACATCTGACTGAGGACTGAAATCGAGTCTTTCTATTTGTCCCCATGCCCACCTCATCTTACCAGTGATCTCTCTGAAAAAGCTGTGTACACCAGCATAATCCAACTGCAGGGCAGGCGTGTAATGGTGATTGGTACAGTTTGACGTGTTATATGGAAAATTGTCGAATGCGCATCTGGCAAATTTCAGAAATACGGCGATTCGTGGTAAGCCTGGAATAAACCCCAAGACATCAAGCCTCGCCATTCTGCTTCTTGTTGATCCACGTATGTTTGAAACATTACAGTAATAAAATCCCGAGTCTTGAGATGTGAGGTTTTTCTTTGTTAACAAGCGATCAGAGGAATTCGCCTTCACTATGTTACCAGTACGTGACATGAAAAACCACTCTATGGTTGGCTTAGGTGCCCCATCACCACTGCATATCATTGTCAATGTTTCAGTTCCCACTAGAACACGAAAGTCACTAGGATGAATAGTGATTCTTGGCGCTTCATGTACCCTAACAATGGTAACATTTGAAACTGTTACACCCCTGTTATTGGAAGCTTTGCATTTGTAAGCTCCTTCAGTTTGCCTATCCGCATTTCTTAAAACAAGCACTTCATCGTGCTTGTCCTCTACAACCCTTTCGTTTCTTATCCAAACAATCTCCACTTCATCTGAGTTGGTAACTAAGCATGTAAGGTTTAATGTTTCACCAGTCAGGAACACAACTTCTGCAGGCGAGCTTTTTAAAATGACTGGACTATTTCCGCACAACACTGAGTCGTCTTTAGTTTTGTTGAGTACGGCCTTGGCCCTAAGTGCTATTTCTTTCACTGAATCGAATGAAGAATTCCTTTGTAACAAACTGGTAAAAACCCTTTTCATTTCTTGTAGACTCTCTTTAATTTCGAGTGCCCGTTGACTATATTCGAACAGATAAAAGTCATCCAAGTTATAAAAGAAGAACTCCAGACAATCTTCAATTCCAGAGCACTCTGTAAGGTTTTTGTCTCCTGTCAAAACATTGAGATGAACGCGCCACTGTTCAAGAATGGTTTCCCATTTTGTCGCACTTGTAATATTGATAAAATGATCTTTTAGGGACTGCATCATCTCGCTAAAGGTTACCTGAAGCTGTGGAGTAGACGAAAACGTCTTTTTTACAGAAATTGTGGAATAGGAATCGACTTCCTCAGTTCCTGATGATATGGCTTCAAAGTATTCATTTGTACTTTTAACAAGAAATTCCAAAGAGTCTATGACGTCTGCAAAGAGAGCATTTGCTTTGTGGGAGAAAAAGCAAATACGTCGCACACTGTCCATGCCAATTCTGTCTTCCATAAACACGCCGTGCGTAGATCTTCTTTCTCTAGAATTTGTTTTTGTTAAGAGTGTCTGAACTACAAGCTTCGCGGCTGAATCTAAGTAGTAGTCAAGCCTTTTGAATTCAATTGGGAACTCTACAAACTTGTTGTGCCCTTCAGCATCTTTTACAGATGCAACAAACGGTAGCAACGTTTTGCTGTTTGAAGTCATGGACGTCGAGAACGAAAGACCTTCCACGGAAATCATTTCCTTACCGTCCAGACTCTTTACTTTGTCCGCCAGTCTTATCCCAAGTTTCTCTTGCTCTCTGATTTTGCTGATACTTAGGGATGCCTGGGCATTTTGACTCTGTTCAAGCATTGCAAGAGCAAGTTCGACTTGATTTGTTGCCATGCGAACATTTGTTCGAGCTAAATTAACCTCCATTTGAGCCAGATTTACTTGCCTCGCCATGTCTGCCATATTCTGGAAGTCTGCAAAGAGTGCACTCTCCTTATTGTGTAGTCGTTTTAACTGTTGGGCAAATTCGGTTATGTTTTCCCAACACTCGGAGTTGTGATCAACACAGTCTGGCTTTAAAATCTGAACTTTTTCTTTTATCGCTTTGTTGCAGCAGGCATAAGGTTTTTCGTGACCAGAAATGACTTCTATAGAATCGGCATTATTTTTACATTTATAGCTATCTACCTTGATCGTTTTATTTTCTGCCTTGAATTTGGAGTTTGAGAAACATTCTTCCCTGGTGTCGCCTCCTGTAGTAGTATAACTCTCATCGTCGATCCAGCCCCCTCCAGTTTTTGTAAAATTTTTAGGTGTGGTTACGTCGTAACATTCTTTTTTAGTATACTTTTTTAAGCGAACTACTGGAATTGACTCGATAACTCTCTCACAGATTGGTATAGTATACGTAGTCTTAACTTCCTTTCGGCACACGTCAGGTATGCACGTCAGGTGTAAGTCAGTGCTGTCACATTCTTTCATTTCACAAACATCCTGGTTCTTGAATTGAAGGTAGCGCAAAAGTGTCGAATTGAATTGTATCTTTCGTCGGGCATACGTAATTCGCTTTTCGACAAGATTGATTGTCTTTTCGTCCAATATGTTAGATGCATTGGCCAAGGTAATCTGCTTCACTTTAAGAATTGCTTCTGCATCTTTGGTTTTTCTTTTGGCATTAATATTTGCAGTTTCAGCCTTTTTAATCCTCCTTTGGGCGTTTTCTATTAGAACAAGTATATACTTATTGATTGTACTTTGAAGCTTACTTGGAAGAAGGGATGATTTCAGCATCTTTCCTTCTACCATATATAGTAGTGAGTTCCAGTCTTCGCTGTTTCTGATCTTTGCAAAAACATTTACCTCTGTCGGAAATTTATCAAAAATTTTTCCGGTTACTTTAAGTGATAACTGATTATTATCCAAAGTTGCATTTGCCGGCTGACTCAAACCAAGAACTTGTATCCATGCCGTAAATGTCATAGTCACCTGGTCAGATTCACGGCCGAAAACCATAGTAATAGGTTGTCCTTCTGGAAGACTTAGAATTTTACTTGGGCTCAAGGACACGACCTTAGGCGTTTTACCGCTGACATAAAAGTTTTTACCTGAAAATTGCTTGGATCCACAGCCATACCCATCAAGGTGTGTAACTACTGTGTTGATGTTCTCCAAACATAGATTTTTTACGCAGAGACTACAGCGAAGGTAGATTTTGACACCGAACAACCTTTGTTGAATACTTTCTCCTCCAAGTTTCAAGTGAACAGAGTGTGGGAAATCTGACTGGAAGTTTTCGATCATGGCAAGTAAAGGCGAGTTCGAGGCTTGTATGGAAACGCGATGCTTTAAAAGTCCCACGCTTGTTCGCACAGCGTAGATTTTTTCATTGATGTCAGCCATCAATTTTCTGACCTTCTTGATGTCAATGGCTCGATTTAAAAAAAGCACTCTACGGAATTCGCGAATCTTTCCACTTAACACAGCAGCCGTTTGAATCCATTTTTCTATAGTTACTTTATCTTTTGGAAGCATCGAAATTGACTTCTGGAAAATTTCTTCTGCCTGCACAACAAGGAATCTTAAGTTTGTCAGGGTACGCCGTATCTCTGCTTTATTACTCACTCTGTTTTGTCGTCCTCCAGAGTATTTAACCAGCGTTGCAAAATGAAGCTGTTGATTTTCTACAGGGCGTACATAAGGGTAAAATGGTGTTTTGAGGAACGGTCTATTCATATTTGTTCTAAAATTCAAGAATACTCCTTGCACCCTGTCTTCGCAGCTGTTCTCACCTAGTAATTGGAGCAAAAGAAAAAAAAAAAAGAAATAAGAGACAGCCGTATGAGTGTAAATGCTTATGGTGACTAAAATAATGAAATAGCTCATAAACAAAATCGTTGACAAAAGAGCTTGTTTATATAAAACGAAAGACAACTGACTGTATACACTCAGCATTGTACAGGTCCGAGTTGTACTATTCAGAATTTTTGATTGTGATGAGAGTCTTATGCCCGTTTCAAATGTCGTGCTACTGCCGTGCCGAACTAAATTCGGCTTTAGCACGGCAGTAGCGCGACGTTTGAAACCAAGTCGTGCTACTTCCGTGTAGCACGGCAAGCTTTGCCGTGCTACACAGCAGAAGCTCGACTTGGTTTCAAACGTCGCGCTACTGCCGTATCGAACTCAATTCATAAATTATGAATACATTAGAGTACATTTAAAAGTTTGCTAAATCGTTTCTTTATTTTTGTGTTTTGTTTTCGGCAAAAGCAGTTCTATTCGACTGAATTAAATTGGACGTCTGAAAGCAAGTTGTGCTAGTGTCGTGCTGCAGTTGAGCTATTGTCGAGCCCGCTTAGCACGGCAGTAGCACGACGTTTGAAACAGGCCTTAGAGCGGAATACGATTACAGCATTTTCCACCAAAGAACAAAGATCATCTTTAGAGCACTCAATATTCTAGAGGGAAACTAAAGGGAATTATTTTATTTCCTACAAGGTATATGGCCGTCACCACACTGAGCTGACAGACAGCGACAGCCCTCTGCTTTGTCCGGCGCTTCGATTCCGGTAACTGTTTTACCTCCAAGCCTGGCCTTTCCTATCATATCCTCAGCAGCAAGTTCCAATTTGAAGTCCTGCCCTAGAGATCTTCCTTTAATGCCAGCGGAGACTTTTCCTTTAAGTAGCATATCGAGTGGCCGAGACAGACGATAAACAAATAACTGTTAAAAGAGTAAAAACAAACAAACGGACAATGTTCAACTGAAAAAAAGAAAACGTGAAACTTAAGAAAACAAAATTATGCTTTTATCGTTGACTTGACAACCAACTTACGTCATCAATTTTTTCGTAGTGATTAAAGGTCTCTCCTGTGATGTGAAATTTTACTTCTAGATTTGCAGGTGTCTGCATCTTCCACGTTACGTCTCCCTTTAACCACATGTTGTAACTGAAAGTTGACACCTTCTCAAATTGCATCCCATTCCAAATCTCTCCGTCCTTAACATCATGAGTATCGAAACTCTCCAGAAGGCCAAGCGAATCAACTTTGATATCAATGCCCCTCTCTTTCATATCTCGAAAAGCCGCAAGCCTATCATTTATCTCACTGGCTGAGCGTTTAGGAAAACGTATAAAGACAGATTGCTTGCAAACGTCGGCTGCAAAGCAAGTGTCGCCTTCTGCAGACAAGAAAACTGCAACGTCGGAAACCCAAAATTGGTACTTTGCGGTTGGGCGAATGTACACAATACTTGACGATGGATTAAGTGGAAACACTGAGCAATGTTCCTCATTGAGTTTTACTTTTTTAGCAACGTTTACTGCGATGTTTTGGATGTCGAATACGTTATTTTCCTCCTCAGTAACGATATGTAGCCATTTAGGAGACATTCTGGAAAAGGTGCGCAAGAAAGAAGAGACAAGTGCGTCATCGTTAATCAACTCTAAACGATTTTCAAAAGTCAGTCCCCTTTGAATGCACATCCCATCAATTATATGGAAGTCATTTTGTGCGTCACTGAAAGACATGCGTGCAGATACTGCTTGAGATAATGATTTTTTAGATAACTGAAGCTCAGCCAAACTTAAACCAACCATGGACAGTGGAATATAATGGTTGGAAGGTGTCTTAATGTGGACAATACCCTTGGTGGAAGGGGAAGTACCAGTCCATACCTCTGTAGACAAGAATCGTAATTCGCATGATGAGGATTTGGATAAGTACTCATTACATCCAACTGGCAGTTCTCCTTTAGGAAGAAACAACTTTGAGTACACACTGGAGTTGACCATCACGCGAGGCTTGACTAGAAGAAAGCGTGGCTCAGGGATCTCGAAATCACCTACACTAGGACCTCCCAAATCAAATGAGATTGTTTGAATGCCTGCTTTCTCAGATTCAACAAAGAATTTCTGCTTAGTTTCCGGATATACAATCTCGAGATAGGATGACGGATAAAACGTCACTCCATTTTCAGCAAATAGGGAAATTGTCAGTTTATTGGATGGCCGAGCAGAAAGGTGAAGGGCCTCGGTCTTGGAGCTTGCTGATACTTTTGGAAAAACTGGTGTTGTAACGAAACCTTTTTGACACTCGCTTCCCTCGTAACCAGTTCCTTCACACTCACAAGAAAAGCTTTGATGCTGGACCTTGCATTTCCCACCGTGCTTGCATGGTTTCTGTGAACAGCTTTTCAGTTCTGTTTAACACAAAAGGAACGTGACAGTTCACTGTTTGTTGCGGAGGTGTACAAGAAATTCAAAACATTTAAATTTATTATGAATGGTTGATTCCTTTATCAATGGCCGTATAACCATAAATTATCGCGACACTATCATATCGAGAAATTTATATATTTAGGTTCCTTATATATGTGGAAAATTTGGCTTTAAGATCGCGACAAAACAACCGACATATAAAAACCGAAAAATCCTTTCACTAACGCTTACTGTGGGCAGTGATTAGGCATTAGTCCTTTCACGACTCTACGAAAGCTTAGACTTGTGTACCTAAAAGGTAAAAGGGTGCTGCCTTGGAGTCATCAACTTTTGGAATTAAGATCGTGTATCTAACAAGATATTTAAGAGTGATTTTCTGTAAAATTCGAACTTCGGCCTGACACGGTACCTCATCGATTTGGCTGATTTTTGGCATGTAGTCGTAGAATGGTGTCCTAAATACTGAAATCATATTCTAAGGTTCGAATTCTCTTTGGTTTCAAAGATACAGGAATGACAGTTTTGACAAGGCCTCGAGGGGCCGCCATGTTGGTGAACTGAAAGAGGTTATTGTAGCCTTATCATGAAAATAACTTAATCGTGACTCATACAGTTTCAACGAACTATCCTTCCTCCTTTCATTTACCTACTATCATCTGAAAATGGTCAAGCCTGCGCTACGAACGGCTATAACTTCTCAGGGCACTTTTTCGGTACTTAAAAGGTACACAAATTTGGTAGAAATTGGAAGGTCAATATCACCCATGCCACATCGATCTTGACTGAGCCATTTTAACTAAACATAGTTTGTTTAAAGATAAGTTAGATTGTTAAATAAAATAATTGGGAAAATGTAATGGAGCAGAATTATAATTGCATAAATGCGCAATGGTTCAGCCCCTTGTCCGCTAAAACTTCGAAACAAAATTCAGTGAATATTTGAAAAGAAAATTCTAAAAAATTGATCGTGCCTCTTAAGGCCCATCTATCGCTTAAAAGAGCCTTACTTGTAATGTACAAAGGTGATCTTTTGCTTCTGATCTTGCGAAAAGCTTGAAATATGTGCTAAATTACAAATTTTGTTACGCACAGTGTAGCTCATTAAGTTCGCTCTTCGATTTGCCAGACCAATCGGGAGCCGCTCGTGTGCACAGTTACAATTTTCTCTGTAGTATTTCGCTGTATAGAGCTAGAAATTACATATTTTCTTCGGCAAAGATAACGCAAACGTTGCCAATTTTTATCAAAAGGCTAGAAAAACAAACCGTGCACTGCGGCTTTACGCAAATTATATGGTATTCGATATTACACGTGTTAACAGGAACCTACCTTTGCTTCTATGTACATTTGGCAGATCTTTCCAGCGTAAGATATATATAAAACTAGTACATGAAACGAAATTAAAGAACTCATCAAGTCAAATTACGTGATCATACCGTCATTACTGAATAAAAGTCCGAACAATATGACATAGAATGATCGGTGGGAGACGAAGCTATTTTTAGGAGGACAAGGAACTGCACGCTGGAACGGAAGTGAAATTAACAACCTTACATGTAATCTAGTTCAGTCTTCTTGACGCTATTTAACGTTTCACCCGACTTTGAACAGAAAGTTGTTTTTTATTTTCTTTCTCCTTCTTGCGTTTATTCTGCAGTTCGCCCAGTATTTTCTCGTAACTTTTAATTTTTTAGCAAACTAGAACTGTTAAGAATTCCCCCCTCCCTCCCTCTTTGAGTGAACTTTCATTCGGTCTGATTGACAATAATTTTCGAACGCTCACAAAGTGAAATTTGAAATGACATTTTATTTTGGTATTTTAAGCTCCTTTTTTTTCCCGATAGCCAGAAATGTTTTGAACGTAAAGGCTAAAGTGTCGGTGTTTTTCACGACTCTGCTTGTATACGACCAGTATTACATCACGGACATAAATTCTGATTCGAGAGGGTCAAAAAGTAACTGATGCGTCTCTGAAAATGAAATGCAGTCACTTTGGGGCGAGCAGGCTATATAGATGATGAACTCATTGTTTATAACTCCATAACCGTATCTCAAAATTCGAGCCAGCCAGGGGCGAGCGAACACAATCTTGGCGCCACTAGCCACGCCCGTATGTTTGGCGGCAAATTTGCTGATTAGCCAAATCTCCTTAACTCCATGACAATGCACCTTTCCAAATATTGCCCTTCTAATCATTGTATAGTTAGTGCCTCCCTTAAGCATTTGCAACTATTTTGATTTGTATATAGAACACTGTTTATCAGTTTCCATTACTTTAATGTCTCCTAAACAACACGTGATACATGTTCTGATCTCCCCCACCCCCATCCATAACCAAAAATTTTCAGACCAACTTAACAGTGAAGCTACAGTACGTAGAAAAATATGAACATCTCAAGGCAAGGTTCATCATTGTAACTTACCACATAAAGGCTTTTCGTTGTTTGCCATCGATTGATTCTGTTATGAATACTGAGGTCCCACAAACAACGCCACGTTTAGAAAGAACCCGCACTTTCCCATCCAAGAAAACCCAAGTAACAATTTCACCAACGGCCATAAGCCGTAAAAAAAGGACCGCGTCAAATATTTCATAAAATCACAAACACCTCATGGTACCTTTACTTCACTCTTGCTTCAATAAACTTATTTTTTGACGATAAATGACGTCAGAATGCGCGATTATAAGGGTAGTGGGCTTATGAAAAGAAAATTTAACCAATGCACATGAAAGCGCTTAAGACGGGGACTAGGGGGAATTAGGAACATCGTGCGTATCGCTGAAAAAATATTGGCTAGTTCTCTGAATAGACACAATTAAAACCGTTTTTGTTCAGTAAGGAGCTGTTAGATCGGGAGAAAGCGACATAAAGTAGATCACATCAGAATACGGCACGGGACTAGGCTCTCAAAAATCGATAAGCATGCAAGACCAATCTTTATGTGAAACAAAGAAAAATTCCTTGAGGGAAAAACTTATGGCTAGGGAAAAGACTCGAAGGTAGAAAGTTAGGATCGTAGCTTCTTTTCAGGTAACATTTTCTCAGGCCTGTACATGCGATCTTCTCCCTGGCTAAAAAAAACTTAATTGACTGGACAGTGCTCTAAAAATAGATAAGCGACGATTATTTTTCTATATATTTAAAAGAAAAGCTATGATGACTTCAGCCGTTCTCCCATAAAGACCAAAGAAACATATATCACTAAGGCACCGAGCCAAGGGAAAATAGAGCAAAAATTTTCAATTTTTCCCTTGACGAAAGCACTATGTTAACTCTTTGACACGAACGGACCTATCAAATCAAGGTTAACTTCCCAAGTGACAAAATAAATCTTTCATTTTTTCCTTTTTTCCAAGCAAATGTGCAGTTACCGTAAATGATCGATTAAGCGCCGCTACTCGAATAAACGCCGCTACGGAATAAGCACCGCAGCGCTAATTTAATTTACAAATAAACACCCCACTTTTGTTATACTTGTTACGGCGCTTGATACAAAAAGACATCAAAACTATATCGCTTGACAAACAAGACCACAACCCAATCATGATCCATGAGTTCTTAAGTTTTAATGTACGGGAACTTTCGAAACCAGGTTCATATAACAGTTCGAGGTGTGCATATTAGTCCTTTTTCTTGCCGAAGTCTGAGTTCTCTCTATATTCCCCTTAGTGTTTCACCCGCAGTTGAAATAAGCGCCCCTCCCTAATAAGCGCCGCACTTTTAACATGGAAAGTGAAATAGGCGCCGCGGCGCTTAATCGATCATTTACGGTAACTTCCGATCTCTGACGGGCATATCGGAAAGACTGAAAACACTCAAACTGGATGAGAGTATAACACATTCAAGAAGAAACAAATTTGTGAATTTTTACAACTCGATATAATTACTAAAAATGTGTACTCCCATTATACAAAATTTTTCTTTTCAATTTCAGTTTTTTACGATGGAGCATTATCCCCCGTATTCACTAGACATTGCTTTACAATCTTCATGTTAAAATCAGTGAAACACTCTATTTGCATGGCGTACATTTTGAAGAACATTTGAAAAAATTTTGGATTCCTACCCTTATACCTTCATTAAAAATTAAAGTTGGGTAGTTTGTTGTTTTCTAAAAGTAGTTTGAACAGATGAACGACATTGTTTACACGAAGTGGGAGAGGCCTTCTAAGGTAGAAAGTGTCAGCAAAACGTGAGAACCGTCCTTGAGGGCAAAATAATTCTCTCACCGATTGCAAGTGCCATTTCATCCACGCATAACCTCACCTAGTTAACAGAATTTATTAGCAAATGTAATGGAGAAACGTTACGAGAGAACTGAGTAAGACTTAATAAGTTAGGGTAAGTTTTGAGAATTGGGCGCACACCTGGAAAATCCTGGCTACGCTCCTGATAGAGACACTCCTGAAGACCCGAAAGGAAAAGCCATAGCACAGTTTCAGACTGAACCACCCATTAGTAAAAATAGATCATGAAGTTGTCGCGGCGGATGATGAACTTGAAGGCTTCTGATCAAGTGCAATTTTTCAAGGGAGCCCAGACAAGATTATGTACGATGGGCACAACTTGTTGGACGTCTTACTAACAAGCGCATTACCACTAATTGTCTTCAGAGGCGTTTTGAGTTTACGAGCAGAGAAAATTAGGTTTTGACGGTTAGAAAATGAGACGCCTTTTGTATGATGACGTCATCGTCCTACAGTAAAAAGCGTTCGTTTTTTACCACTGATATTACATCAATCGGTACACTTATGTTGTCGAAAGGTCCGTGAGCATGGTGAATGACTTTACATTAAACTGCAGACACATCTTCAGTCACTCCGTGAAAGAACGCCCTTATTGTTCGCGATATCGGATAAACCTGGTCGCTTACTGAATTTTCTTTGCTATTTCCTTTATTAAGAATTAGGACTCTCTTGAGTTATCCATGCTTGGACTAGCGATTTTAAGCTTTTTCAAGAAAACTAAAATTTGGAATTG